TTCTAATGATTACGTAACTAGATAATGATCCATTATGTCATTTCTTATCCGTGACCATAATCAAGATGTAGTATTATTATGGAGTTTTGTTCTCTGAGCTGGATAGTTTGGTTGTGGAGCTTTCATCGTTCTTCTGAACGACACCATCAGCACAAATTTCAGATAGAAGTGAAGTATTCAAATGTCTCTATATGCGTTTCACAGCTTGTTCTGTACACCACGATGTTGATTGGTTCCTATTGACCTTAAATATATCATTGTTTACTTCTTTGTTTTGGTTGTCTTCGATTGATGATGTCGTTCAGAAGAACGAGGAAAGCACCACAATCAAACTATCCAGCTCAGAGAACAAAACTCCGTAAAAATCATCCAACTGAGTTATACATCTTCACCATCTCAAGATATAGTATTCTAAACGTTATACATCAAATAACCTTTTATGTGATAATTTCAGTAGACATTAATTATAGTTGCTTTGCTACAATTATGTTATACTGTTTGTGAAAGATTAAACTGGATATTAAATTAAGGTTTCGACTTATTTCTTACACGCTGCCAGTATAATAACAGTCACACATGTGCAGGGCAAAGTAATTAGAACAAAGATGTGTTTACGTCATAGTATATCTTATTCGGTCAGAATAGGATTCAGATATCTCTATCTAAAGTTAGATGGGTATTAGAAAATACTATATAACACAGTCATCTACCATACAGAAAACAATTCAAAATGTTGTGTAACTGGTTAGCTTCCAAAGCAATAGTAAGGGAGTGATATATAATAACGTAGGTTTCAACATACACAAAGAGAAATGCAAGAATCTCCGATACAACATAGCATGCAACAATCCAATCACAATTGATGGAGAAGATTTGGGAGATGTACAAACCTTTACATATTTGGGCAGTATCATCGATGAACACGGTGGATCTGATACAGATGTGAAGGCACGGATCGGCAAAGCAAGAGCAACATATTTACAACTGAAGAACATCTGGAACTCAAAACAATTGTCAACCAACACCAAGGTCAGAATTTTCAATACAAATGTCAACACAGTTCTACTGTATGGCGCCGAAACCTGGAGAACTATAAAAGCCATCATCCAGAAGATACAGGTGTTTATTAACACTTGTCTACGCAAAATACTTTGAATCTGTTGGCCAGACATTATCAGCAACAACCTACTATGGGAGAGAACAAACCAGATTCTAGAGGAGGAAGAAACCAGGAAGAATCGCTCGCAGTGGATAGGATACACATTGAGGAAAGCACCCAACTGTGTCACGAGGGAAGACCTCACATGGAATCCTCAAGGCCAAAGAATACATTACGTCGAAAAATAGAAATGGACGTAGGAAGAATGAACAATAAACGGATAGAACTAGAAAGGAATGCTCAGGACAAAGTGGGTTGGAGACTACTATTCGGCGGCCTATGCTCCATTGGGAGTAACAGGTGTAAGTAAGTAAGTAAGTAAGATATATAAGAACAATCTTCATATGTTGAAATCTGGATTGGCTTGTGCTAATCTGAACGATACGACACATAAAACCTTGGCCATCAAAGCTTCGACAAGTTAAATTTCTGTCTTTGTTCATCTTTGCCTTTGAAGGATTTTCCACACGTGTTAACAACGGTGTGTATGTAATCCATAGGACCGGCTAGGTATGTCAGAGCATATTGAACATAACCCAGTTGATGTCACTATCTTGAGCCACCGAAATTTATGATTTGAACATGTTTCCTAATCTTGTTTCAATAGTGTACACACTAGATTAGGAATGGATGAAAAAAAGTGAAATGATAGTTACTTCACTATGTGACTCATTTCAACGAATGATAGCTCCATGAGACTGATATCTGTTGGTTTATACAGATTTCATAAATGAAATTCTAAATTCATATAACTCAGAAGTTAATGACACTATCAAAAATGACTCAATATAAAAGTTAGTGGAAAACCTGTAGTAATTTTCTATCAGAGATCTATAGATGAATGTATTTCAGCATGAACTGATCAAAAACGAATTAAATTTTCAATTCAGCTTAGGAGATTTAAACAAAGATGACATCATTTGTGAAATCGATGAACCAAAATACAGATTTTATTGAACTCATGAACCGGTCAATGTTAAACAACTAATAATAACCTGGAAGCACAGAACAACCGTTCCATCCATCCTAGTATAGGATTTCTAAGGAATTCGCATTGACAATTCGGTCATTGAAAATCGAATCCAGAACCTCCTTTCTCACGTGTAGACCAACAATACTGCATCCAATGTTGAACTCACTAATTTGTAATCAAAATTATATGAAGACTAAGATAAATAAAATAAATTATTCAGTTTTATTTCTGTTACCAAGGTAGTTGATAAGGAATTAGTCATTGTTTTAAAAAAAAACATAAACTTTATCGAAGGGGTGATTTTTCAACGAATTTATTATCAAGCTGAACAATTGTATATGTATGAAAGTCTTTATTCTTATTATGTTAAAGCACTAGTTTTGTGAGGATATATAAACAAGGAATCAACTTGTTGACGTAATCGAAAGACTGTAATACTAGATTACGTAATATGAATAATAATAACAATACAAATACTAAGTTGGCAACACAAAAGTTGAATGTAAACATTTTGTTTGTTGCAGTTTAAGCGGACATTAATACAGTAAAATTACAATGTCGATAAATTATTTTGAATGTATGATATGTCTTGCAATTTGAACACTGTACTCGGTTTCTAAGCTATTCTTGAAACCCCCAAAGCTAGAACTATACAGTGACCTGAACACGAGAGAGAAGGCGCAAAGTATGCGAAAAGTACTTTACTCCAAGGTTCATTTTAATACAGAAAACAGAGGGATTTTATAATATTCTAAATGTCCTTGGGTTGCTCGAAGATTCTGGAATGCTACTAAACATAGTAGCAGTATAAGTAATCAGCCAATGATAACCTCTACATGTGACGTTTCACTTCCTTGATGTTTCTGGCTAAAACTTCAAGTGAACACTGATCGGATGAATTGTTTCTTAGTGTTTCCTGATCCTTGCATGTCTTTTGCGAGAATTTTTCTGGATCATCCCAACAATGTACTTGTTTCATCGACTTCATGTTTGTAGTCGAACATGTGGAAAATAATCATTCCTTAAAGAATGTATTCTTCTCTAAGATATAGACTATTGGGAATGACAGTATTTTCCAAATTAAGACGACTTATGAGTTTGTATGAGTTTGGCAATGTGCATACAACCACTACTACGGAAATCTTACTTACTGCCTTCTCGCCACACGGGTGTTGTTTACGAAATTGAGACGACGGAAATCGAACAATCCGGTCACACACATATACTTGTCAGGACATTTTTATAGGTCAATTACATGAAAGTTCAAGTATAGAAAAAAAGTAACAAAGGGGAGAGAAAGAATAAGAAATTGTCGAGTTATCCTAGGCCATAGAATGACTTAAGGATTATCAAGATAAATTCAAAGTTACGACAAATTGTTTTTGTACATATAAGGAGTGGGGGTAAGAATTCGTCCTTGACAATTTCTATACAACGTTTTAAAAGCTGTATTAATGTCAATTTTGTGCCCCGTTTCAATTATATGTTTCGCTATCGATGAACGTGGTTTTCTACCTTCTACGTTGATCGGATCATTTGACACATTGATTTTCATATAAAATGCTCTGACAAGTATATGTGTGACCAGATTGTTCGAAATGTGTAGCGCAAATACATCACATTTTTCAGATCAACTCCGTCTTCTCATTGTTCTATCGAAATTTATACAAAGGACTAATTGCTTTAAATTACAATATCGTTGATTGCTGTTTAACTGACCGATAGATTGTTTTACAATTTCAGTTATGTGATATGTATATGCAAACCAAAATAACTTGATTGACTATTTCATACATTTAAACGACGACTTCAATTTCTGGATATATGTGCTCAATTATACAACTAGTGTGGTGTGTGTTACTGATATTGTTAGATATAAGTAGTATGTATCATTAATCGAAAGTGAAATGCCTGAAGGTAGAAAGTTAAGAAGATCAAAGAATGATTGGTGTGGAAATGAAAGCACAATGAGGTCTGACAGGATTGATTGACATTTTGCGAATGAAGTATTGACTATATGATTCTCAGAGGTTCTATAATTTTGTGTTCAAATACATTTGGTTGTCCCCACTTGTGTTCTTGTTCACTACACTACTACTTATTTTACATGTTACGATCAGTTCAGCTAAGCCGATTTATTTTATATTTATTATTTTATTTGAACACATTCATATTGATACAAAGGGGAACCGAATAAATATGCACACACACAACTCACTTGATTTGCGTGTGGGTTATGGTACTGCTCGGGTACCCAGTCTGAAGCACGTAGTTTTCTTAGTGGGTCATACTTTGAACCTTCGAGCTAAAAGTCTGATCCGAAAGGCAGTGGAGCAACGTCAAGAGATTCAACTACATGGTAACCAGTCACCAACGATTGGTTCATACACCATTTAGTCCTTTAGGCTACTAGAGCCTATGTTCACCATTGGTATAAAATCAAGGTTTTCCAACTTCCCTAAATAGATCCCATATAATTCGACTAAAATGCTGTACATTCTCTTCCCATCATCTCAATTTCATAAACAACACTCGTATGGGGAGAAAGCAGTGTGTGTTGAACTTCCTTATCAGCGATTGTATACTCATAGCTTTGTGTTATTCATTTGAAGAGAGAGAGCTGACCCCTCCTCCCACCCTCTACCCTACCAGAACATTTGAGAGATGTAACTAAGCCGATTAAATCATTTCATTACACTTTATGGATCAATTTTAAAATTATAATATTTTATTTCCACCCAATCTAGGAAATGTAATCCATTGAAACAAGTTTTATCACTCAACTTGCTTCTATATGCATATGCATATATATATATATATATATATATATATATATATATATATATATATATATATATTAATACGGGAATATTAAGTAATTACATTGTATTACTTATGATAAGTATAATAACAATAATAGTTTTTATGTGATAAACTGACTGTATGAAGATAATTAATAGTTATAATCAACTTGGTATATAATTAGCTTTTTGACAATTCGCTAAATCCATACATGTTATATACATATTTTGTGAAGTATTCTCATTGATAGGATGATTATGATGTTGTTGTTGCTGTTGCTGCTGGTGTTGGTGTTGTTGTTGTTGTTGATGGTGGTGGTGGTGGTGTTGTTGCTGTTGATTTTGCTGTTGATTCTGCTGTTGATGATGATGATGATGATTCCTATGATTATGATTATTTGAATATGGTTGTATTTTTGGTGATTGTAATCCAATATTACAATTATGAATTGGTATAATAGATGCAGTTGCATATGGTGTTACAATAGGTGAATAAATTTGTTCATTTATATTACCATTGATAGTAGTTATTAATGTTGATGGTGTTAATATAGAACCAGATGAATCATTTAATTGTTGTTGTCTATTTGATATTTGTTCTAAATAAATAGCTGAATCAAATGGTTCAGAACTAGTTTGTGATGGTGATGTTAAATGTAATGAATTTGTTTTCATAGGATCATGTAGATTATTAGTTAAATAGGATATATCAATTGGTGAATTTGATGTTAATGGTTTAGTAACTGTTTGAAATAATTGTGATTTTGTAGAATTATTATTATTATTATTATTATTATTATTATTATTATTATTATTATTATTTATAGGACTTCCTATAATACTATTCATTGTATGAAAATGATCCATTGTTTTAGATGATGATTTTCTATGTGATTCCTCAGAATAGTCTGTATATTGTAAACCATAACTTTTAGAACTATCATTTGAATGATTCTCTAAGGATTGTCTCATTGATAAATATGATATTTGTGGATATGTTTTTGTTTCAGATGTTTGTTCAACTGAACTACTACTTATAGTCATAGATCTATCGTTTATATGATGATGATGTTGATGATGATGAGGATGAGGATGATGATGATGAGGAGGAGGAGGTGGATGATTTGAATAACCATTGGTTTCTATTATCGATTTATCCTGAATATTATTTGTTATTGATTTACAATCATTATTATCTTTATTAGTAATATATTGTATATTAGATTGTGATAATTGATATGTAAAATATTTATTACATAATTTATGACGATATAACCAACAAATAAGACATATACTAAAGATTATACACCATGCTAATAAACTACTAATCATAATACCAATAAACCATGATTGATTAATTAATTTATTATTATTTATTGAATAATCAATTAATATTGTAGATGATGATAGTATTGTATGATCTTCAGTTGTTTGAATCATTGATAATTTATGATTGATTTTTTGATTAAGATCAATTTTAATTGATTGACTTTTGATACCAATACCAATACATGTATATGCTGCTAATTGAATATAAAATACATTTGGTAATTTATTTAAATGTATTAATAATTTTCTATGATTTGAACTAATATTTACATTTTGATATAAATTTAATAATTCATTATGTATATATATAATATAACCAAGTATAATACCATTCCAATCTGAAATAGGTGGTGGTAACCAATGAATTTCTATATTATTATTATGATTATGATTATAATTATGATTATCTAATAACCAATTTATATATATGTTTCTAGGTGGTGATAATGGACTAGTTTCATATGTAAGTACTGTATGTGTAAATATATCAGTAGTTTCTATATGATTCATTATAATAAATTCATTATAAATTACTTTAATACCTAATTCATAACAATGAAATGGTTTTAATTTTGTTAATAATGTTGTTACTTTATGATGAATTGGTTGTTTTAATTCATGATTTATTTTATAATGTTCTTCTATTGTTATTGTAGATATGATACCAGGTAATGATATAATAGAATTTGTAATATTTTCTTCTTGTTCTTCTTGAGAAATATATTTCATTAATTCTAAATGTTTATATATTTCATTGATATTATTAATAGATGAATGATAATTTATAGGATTTAAACTACAATAATGATTAATTAAATTAGCATTATTTATAATTGATTGTATATAGTTACCATGTAAACATTTCTGATGTTCTACATGACGATAATATATAATATAACCATTAATTTGTGATAATATATATGATGGTTCATATAAATTCCAACTAATATGAATAGTTTTAGGTGATAATACAGTTAATTGAATATTTTTTATTTTTATAGATTTTGTAATATATTGATTTTTATTAAAAATAATTAATGGTCCAAATGGATTACTTGCCCATCCAATACGTCCATTACCTAATCTAGCACGTATAATAATATAATATGGTATATTATATTGTAAACCATTTAATGTAATAATATTAATAGGCCAATTCTGTTCAATAATTATCCAACCATCATTTAATTGTTTAGGTGTATAAATTTCAATCCAATAATTTATTGATAATATTGATTGATCATAATGATTTTTATAAATATAATCAATAAATGGTGGATTCCATGATAATGTAATTGTATGTTGTGTTTTATTAATAATATATAAATGATTTGGTGATGTAATTGGATATTCATGTAAATAATCAATAATTGTTTTATTGATTTTATATAATAAAACATTTAATACCATTGTACTTTCATAACTAATATTTAAATCATCTATTAATATACATGTATATATACCAGTATCATTTAATTGTAAATTATTAATTTGTAAACTACCACTTGGAAAGATTTGAAATCTATAATCTGTTCCATGAATAATTTCTTTACTGGTTTGTTGTTGTGTATTATTCTGTGAGAACAATGATCGTTTCCATAGAATTCGCCATGTTTCAGTACTTTGAATATGAAAGTATTCTTTCTCATTATGATCATGAACATGATCATAATCATAATCATTTGATTTAGGATATTCATTAGGATAAATAATTTTCACTAATTTTGGTAATTCACAATCAATAAGTACAGATTCACCAATAAATTTTGTTTGATTTGATGGTGGTAATCCAATATATGGTAATATATATTTTATTGATTTTGATTTATTATTATTTATCATAGATAATTGATATTCAGTATTTAATGTATTCACAGTTTGATTTGGATTTAAATTTGGTGGTGGCGGTATTGTTGTTGTTGTTGTGGGGGTGGTGGGGGTTGTTGTTGTTATTATTGTTGTTGTTGTGGTGGTGGTTGAATTCTTTTTTTTACGTTTTATTCTTAAAATAGCACTTGTTTGTATCATATCAATAGATGAATGTGCAATACAATAATATTTACCAGCATCTTTTAATGTAACTGAATTAATTTCTAATGTTCCATTCATATATACTATATATTTATTTTGTAATGTAGATTGTAATGAAATATTATCTAATGGAAAAATTGGTGTTTTATCTGGTAATTCCCAATAAATACTAGGTTTAGGATTACCATTAACTATACATATAAATTTAGCTTTATCACCAATATTTAATAATAAATCAATAGGTGATTGTATAAATATAGGTGGTGTTTCAACAATAAGATATATTTCACCTATTTCATTATTTAATGTAGTACATATATAAATATCAGAATCTGAATATAATACATGATAGATGATTAAATCATTTTGAATTTGTTGAATTCTATCAGATATGATAAGAGATTGTTTTGATTTACGACTCCATTTGATTGATTGATTTTTATTGATTGGACAAATTAATTTCACTTGTTGACCTTGTCTTATTCGAATCTGTTTTGATATGATAGATTTATGATCAAGTGATTTAATATGTAAATAAATGGATTGAGATAATCTTTGTTCCATTGAATTCATTGTAAGACAAATATAATAACCTGTATCTTTAGTTGTTACTGAATATAATCTTAAATTACCATTGGACATCAATTTCATATTAGAAAAATCTAAACTATTTGAATAGTTTAATTTATCTTTACTTATGATAGTTTTATTATTTTTAATCCATAAAATTTGTTGTTTTGATAAATTAGTTGAATGTAAACAATCAAGTGTTACATTAGTTCCTTCATTGGATTCAATATGAGATAGATTTAAATGTAATGTATTATTTATATATAGAACTGAACCAATCACTGGTGGATCACTTATAACCCAACCTAATGAATTGGATGCATTACAATAAATAGAATAAAATATACCTGGTATTGGATTAGAAATTAATAATTTACCTAAATATTGATTCATATGTATATTTGTTTGTAATGTATCATTTAATGGTTGTTTAGTAGTTGTATTATACCATAGAATTAATGGTTTTGGATTACCAATAGCTTTACATGTAAATTCAAGTATATTATCATTTGTAATATAATCATTAGGTGTTTCAATAATAATTGGTTTTTTGAAATAATTTATGTCTTTCAAATTGAAAGTATCTAATGTAAATAAATATGTAATATGTATCATAATATAGAATGTTATAAAGATAATTCTGTACATTTGTGATGATAATAATAATAATAATACTAATAATAATGATTCCATTAATGATAAATCTTGTTAAATTATCAATGGTTTATTTAGTTTCTAAGCTATTCTGATAACTAGTAGGAACTAGAACTAATACAATGATTGGAATATGAGAGAAAAGATGTAAAATAAACGAAAAAGTAATTTACTTTAATAAAATACTGGATACTCATTAAATGAACTCAATGAATATAGAATACTAATCTAAAATATAAAAAAAAATAAACAATTTAACAATAGGTAATCAATGAAGTATTATTATTATATTTATTATTAATAATGTGTATAAACAAAGATGGATAGGAGCTAGTAGTGGAATCTAGTTTGATTTGTGTTTCATCCTATTTTAGACTCGTCAGATGGATGTACTTGTATCTCAGAGTTGATATTTACTAGGAGACTCGAACCCAGTAACATTCACTTCAACTACTGAGTCCTCGTGAATTTGAGCTATATCAAGACAATACACACAATATGCACATATACCAATAACCGATTGATCAGTTGTAATGCTAAACATTGATAGGAAGATTCAAGCGAGTAATACCAAGTGAAATTTATTCTGTGTTTATACTATAACTGTCATTGATGTTATGAAAATAATTCTGTACATTTGTGATGATAATAATAATAATAATAATAATACTAATGATTCCATTAATGATAAGTCTTGTTAAATTATCAATGGTTTATTTAGTTTCTAAGCTATTCTGATAATTAGTAAGAACTAGAACTAATACAATGATTGGAATATGAGAGAGAAGATGTAAAATAAACGAAAAAGTAATTTACTTTAATAAAATACTGGATACTCATTAAATGAATTCAATGAATATAGAATACTAATCTAAAATAAAAAAAAAATAAACAATTTAACAATAGGTGATCAATGGAGTATTATTATTATTATTATATTTATTATTAATAATGGGTATAAACAAAGATGTGAGTTTCATCCTATTTTAGACTCGTCAGATGGATGTACTTGTATCTCAGAGTTGATGTTCACTAGGAGACTCGAATCCACTCACGTTCACTTCAAACGCTATCGCGTTATTTAATGAACTACTAAGTTTTTGTAAATTTAGGCTATATCAAGACAATACACACAATATGCACATATTATCAATAAGTAACTGATGAATTATAATGCTAAACAACAATGGGAAGATTTAAATAAAAAATATATTAAATGAATTTTATTCTGTGTTTATACTATAACTGTCATTGACGTATACTAAAATTAGACCGTTGTAGAAAGTTTACATTCAAGAAATATATACATAAGAATATGTAGTGCTATTGGACTATAACCACAACACTCAAACCTGAACATGAGATAATTGGGAAAATAGGCTTTCAACATGTAACGGTAAAAGATCGTCAGTGATGGTGGACGCGGTAACCTTTATTCGAAATTGAATTCATCGGATGGTATGGTTCGGCTCGGCAGGTTTCGTTATTCTTATGTAAAATCATTTTTATTTAGGTTAAATATATTGTTCTATCTCCAACCTAAATGTGTTCTCCATCATATGTTGCTGACTGTTACGCTACGGTGAGTCAGTGTACATAATGATATGAATTCCATCTAAAACTTTATAGATTAGGCAGTTACATCATGACAAATCTACAATTTTAGGATAAAGCTTATTATTAGAGCAGCACTAATAACGAAGTAAACCATAATTCTACAAACTAATTACGTAACATAGTTAAATTAGAATAAATGAAGTAAGAGCTTACAATCTACTGGATAAAAGTCAGCCTATTTCACCATTAAGATGTTAGTGATTAACAACCAATAATGTGTCAAAGATTTAAATAACTAAAGATTTTCCGGTGAGACTTTAATTTATGAACGACCTTTGAACGACGCCAAAGTGACTTTGAGAATGTCTACCTACTTACTAGGTCTAAATGAGGTTTATTAAAGTAGTTTAAAGGATAAGGAATATAATTTACAGTTGATGGTTAATTAAGGGTAAAAATTAGATTTATGGTTTTTTATTACGAACTAACATCGGCTAAAATGCCAAAAGCGTTATTTAGACAAATGAATGAATGAATTTCGCGCCAAAATCCAAGACTTATTATCCTAAATCTGATTGGTTAACCCATAAATTATAGTCTTGCCGATTACATCTTACCACTCAACATTAGATTACACTTCAATATCAATTCACTTGAATTAGTTGGAATACTCGATCGCTAAAATTTGGTGTTCACATAAATCTTCTAAACATAACATAAAGATCAATCGTTTATTTTCAATAGAAAGCAAATGTTACTACCTACATTCAAGTTTATTTGAGTCTTTATGTAAGATCATCAATTAAATACCGATTGCCTGACAGACAATAACTGATTACCTACATTTTATTTATAGAAAGAAACTTCATCTAAAAAAAACAAGTCTAATTTCGGTAAGTAAAATGTGTATGCTTCCAGACAATTTCAGGAAATACAAAGTAAATCAATCAATAATTAATTATTTATGGGAATTTGTGGAGATGACAGAATTATCATATTTTAAATCATGTACTGATTTTAGCAGAATCACCATAGAAATTAAGTGATTGTAAGCAAAATCATAGGTTTTTGAGTAGGATTTCTGAATACAGAGTCGTAGGGGTGTGTACTGCTGAAGAATTCAATATTAAGATGAAAAACAGACATTCATTGATTTCAGGTTTTCAATAATAAACTAGATAAGATCATTTTGTGATATAATCTATGAAAATGGCAAATCTTTAATCCCAATCTTACAGATCTAATGAGGTAGGATGGTAATTAAGCAATGATATATTATGGTTACTCAAAAATACTATTGAAAACCTAAGACAAAGATGAATTGTAGATAGAATTAACGTTTAGATGTTTTCAAATAGATTTCATACCGTAACTCAATAGTACGGAACTATAATACTGAATTTAAATGTTTTGCAAAATGGAAAAGTCTATATCTTAAACAGACTTGACAATTATATGGACAGAATACTTTATTAATTAATTTAGAATAGTATCCGAAGGGAATTTTGTGGACATTATAGTAATTTGACAGTTGAATTCATAAATCACTTGAAGCCAGACAACAGTAGAAAACCTGGACGCGCTGGATAGCCGTTTCGTTCTAGTGTGGGATTCCTCAGAAGTGCATATCCACAATCCCGCCTACCATCTAGGACCTATCAGTCTCGCGCATAAACCCTTAACCTCTAGACGACTAAGTTAGTCGTTATCTAACAGTGTCAATGTCTAACTTCAACTAATCCACCAAATGGAGTGACACATCCACCATTGTATTCAGTGAGTTACTATCTCACGACAGAACCGGTTGAACTCCATTGAACACTGTTTGTCATTAGAACTCAAGGAAATACCTTATGGAGACCATCACTAGTGAGCATTGATGATTGTAATCAGAGATGAAACAGTCTTCCATGTTGGTCTAGCTTCAATTGACTCATCAATTCAACTATTAAAACCATATATATTGAAAAGAATAAATTTTAGATTACGACTTTTTCATAATGACAGGATAAGGTGTGATTAAATATATAAAACATTTTAGAGGTAAGAGTTAATGATACATAACTAAGAAATGAGATTGTACCTATTGTCTTTGTTAAAACGTAAGATCGTAGGTGTACACTTCTGAAAAGTGATATACTAGAGGAAAATAGTCTTTCATTCTTTCTAGGTTTTCACTAAATGTGTAACTAACTTATATATATAATGTAAACTACAAATTCTCTGAGTTAACCTACATTACATAATCGTTCATCATTCAGTTCACTATTAGGAACAACCTACTGTGAAAGAGAACAAACCAGATGTCGATGGTGGAATAGATCAGGAAGAAGAACTGGAAATGAATAGGACACATATTGAAACCCTGGACCCGGGTTTCGTGCTACTTGGCACTCGTCAGCAAGGTGTACCTGTAATCTTTGAGGAAACTAGTGCTCCCTGGCGGATTCGATCCCATCTAATCTCACAACAGTGCCCGCAGTGTCGAGTCACCTAGACTGGTAGCCACATTGCAACATGGTCGATAGCATTCGATCTGCACTAATAAGGACCAGATACAAATGAGATTGATCACCACCCAGTAATTAATCAGCTGTGATTTCTCATATATATTTGTTAGGAAAACTTTAATGAAGCACAAAAAAGCCTCTAGAAACCTTAAAAGGACACAAAAAGTTTCCACCCAATGAACACCTGTTAGAACTTTCTAGAATATCGAAGTGATATGCTATAATTAGATGGTAGCATAAAGTACCTCCTAAACGATTGGCTGAATTATAATGATGTTATAGCTAACGTCAATATCTATAAATACATTTTTGTTTCTTACCTAATAATCACTTCTGCTGATTCTTCTATTTTCTAATTTACATCTATAGGGTTCTAAATGTTTAAGCATCATTAGTTATATATCGTATTCTGTGTTAATCTAATAGTGAATGTAACAATATTTGATATCTGACCAATGATTGATTAGTACATTTTTTTGTTATCATATTCAACTAAGTTTGTTTAAATTTATCAAAAGATTGACAATTGACATGTTCAAAATATTGTTTATTGCAAAATAAACACTATTGAATTCACTTGGTAATGTTTGTTTCTATCTCCCCATTGATGTTTAGGACTGCTATTGATCAGTCTCGTATTAGCATATGTATATCTTATGGTGGATTGTCTCGATATAGCCTCAAGTTACAAGGATTATAGGTAAAAATGGATGGTGACTAGCAGTGGAATTCAGGACGCGAGTTTCATCCTATTTAGGACTCGTCAGCTGGATGTACCCACATTTCCTGGATTCTATCGCCGGCCACCATCCATATTTGCAAACACTATTCAAGTTAGAAAAATCCCAATGAAGTTTGAAAACAATTAAATGTCGTATACAATTTTTGTTTATC